GAATGATTGGAATGATCCTAACTAGATTTGAAAACAAAATGTTGCCAATCCAATGAATCTGTTCTTCAGAAGAATAGTTCTGTGAATTTGACTATATTCCCACTTATTAGCATGATGCTAATGTTACATCACTAATGTTGGACTGCAATAGCCTATAGTCTCTTCCTTGATTGATATTGTTGTTATCCACATAGCTCGTCATAAAAAACAACATCTGCTGCAACTTACCAAGTACACCTACAACACCGCCTGCTATTTTCCCAGCGTTGTCTGTAAATAAACAAACACAGAAGGAAGGTGACATGAATTTGCAGTGAAGCTGAATCATCACCTAAATAGGTAATGAACCATCAAAGAGAACATCATACAGCTACAACATAAAAAGATGGATAGCAACTGGGTGATAGCTTACTGTTGGGGTCTGGGGTTGTTTGAGTGGGGTCAGGTACACGATCTGTTACTCAAAGAAGTGATAGAGTTAACACACAGATTTAACAATGACTAATACAGCATACAGATGTTGGATAAAACAAATAAAATACTGTGGTGAAAGAATGAGGTGGTGTTAGTGGAATGGCATGCAAGTGAACAAACTAGTGTTACATTTCAACACATCCAGTATTTTATTTCCGTGTTAGAGGTAGGCTATGTGCTCGCATAGCTCAAGATAGGGTTCAGCCGTTTATGAGGAAAGTGATGATTACTTCATGCATTTGATATGGGTTGTTTTTCTCCAGGACTACTTGACAGGTACATTGTTACATATTCAGATCACAATCCATCCTTTGTTTCAGGTGAAGGAGAGTCTGATAGAGAAAAGCCACCATAAACTACCACTGGATGCCAATCAGATTAAATTTGAATGTATAATTCAAGTGTCAATGAAAGTGTAGACAAGCATATCACTTTGGACACAACTTACTAGGGGAATGTAGTGAGAATATTAGGCTGAGTATACTTCACAGAACCAATGATGATTCTGCACCTCAGCCACAGACTATGACATGTAACTTGGTGTTGAGGTCCTTCCAAAGCCTCAGACAGACACCACTGGGTTATTGTATTACCACAAAGGATCAAAGGTTAGGCTAATACAATGAGTTAAGGTGTTAGGTGCAAAGTGTTAGCATAATATCTTCTCTCTATCAACACTAAAACATGTGAATTCAGGTCATTCAGCTGTACAACAGGCACTCTCTGATTTCCTGTAGGCTAGGTAATGCTATGGAGAAGAACATGAGGGGTCAGAAGCAAAGCCATTGCTAGGCTATGTACAGTACACCGAGTGTACAAAACATTGAGTTGCACCCCCTTTTGCCCTCAGCATAGATTCTACAAGGTGTCGAAAGCGTTCCACAGGGATGCTGGTCCATGTTAACTCCAATGCTTCCCACAGTTGTGTCAAGTTGGCTGGTTGTCTTTTGGCTGGTGGACCATTCTTGATACACACGGGTAACTGTTGAGTGTGAAAACGCAGTAGCGTTACAGTTCTTGACACACTCAAACCGGGGTGCCTGGCACCTACTACCACACCCCATTCAAAGGCACTTAAATATTTTGTCTTGCCCATTCACCATCTGAATGGCACACATACACAATCTATGTCTCAAGGCCTAAAAAAACTTATTTAACCGGTCTCCTCCCCTTCATCTACACTGATTGAAGTGGACAGGTGACATCAATAAGGGATCATAGCTTTCACCTGGATTTACCTGGTCAGTCTATGTCATGGAAATATCCGTTTATTAGGTACTCCCATCGAGTACCAGGTCAGACCCCCCGTTGCCTCCAGAACGGCCTGAATTCTACAGGGCATTCTAAAAGGTGTAAGAAACGTTTCACAGGGATGTTGTTCCATGATGACGCGATGGCATCTCGCAGTTGCTGCAGATTGGACGGCGGTACATTCATGCTGCGAACAGCCCGTTCCATTTCATCCCAAGGATGCTCTATTGGGTTGAGGTCTGGGGAATGCTCAGGCCACTCAAGTGAACTGAACTCGTCATGTTCCAGGCAATGTTTCTCCACTCCTCAATTGTCCAGTGTTCGTGATCACGTGCCCACTTGAGCCTCTTCTTCTTGTTTTTAGGAGTGATAGGAGTGGAACCTGGTGTAGTCGTCTGCTGCAATAGCCCATCCGTGACCAGGATCGACCAGTTGTGCATTCCGAGATGCCGTTCTGCACACCACTGTTGTACTGCGTCATTATTTGTCTGTTTGTAGCCTACCTGTTAGCTTGCACGATTCCTGTCATTCTCCTTCGACCTCCCTCATCAACAAGCTGTTTTCAACCCCAGGACTGTCGCTGACTGGATTTATTTTGCTTGTCGCACCATTCTCGGTAAACCCTAGACACTGTCGTGCGTGAAAGGCCCAGTGTGTGAAAAGCCCGGCTGCTGTTTCTTAGATACTGGATCCGGCGTGCCTGGCACTGATGATCATACAACGCTCAGTCACATAGGTCACTCGTTTAGCCCATTCTAATGTTCAATTAAACAGTAACTGAATGCCTCGATATCTGATTTATATAGCAAGCCATGACCACGTGACTCACTGTCTGTAGGAGCGATCCTTTTTCGTGAACGGGTGGTGTACCTAATAAACGGAGTAAGTGAATATATATATATAAATAAACATTAGATTAGGATTGTGCCAAGCAGTATCAAAATGCTCTTACCGTGGACTGTGGTTCTCTTTGTAGTAGTTGTAGTAGCTGCTGTAGTTGTGGTAGTAGGGGGCTTTGTTGTAGTCAGAAGGGCTATAAAGACATGACATATACTGTTGAAGTCAGAAGTTTACATACACTTAGGTTGGAGTCATTAAAACTTGTTTTTCAACCACTGCACAAATGTCTTGTTAACAAACTATAGTTTTGGCAAGTCGGTTAGGACATCTACTTTGTGCATGACACAAGTGATTTTTCCAACAATTGTTGACAGACAGATTATTTCACTTATAATTCACTGTATCACAATTCCAGTGGGTCAGAAGTTTACATACACTAAGTTGACTGTGCCTTTAAACAGCTTGGAAAATTCCAGAAAATGATGTCATGGCTTTAGAAGCTTCTGATAGGCTAATTGATATCATTTGAGTCAATTGGAGGTGTACCTGTGGATGTATTTCAAGGCCTACCTTCAAACTCAGTGCCTCTTTGCTTGACATCATGGGACCACGCAGCCGTCATACCGCTCAGGAAGGAGACGCGTTCTGTCTCCTAGAGATGAACGTATTTTGGTGCGAAAAGTGCAAATCAATCCCAGAACAGCAGCAAAGGACCTTGTGAAGATGCTGGAGGAAACAGGTACAAAAGTATCTATATCGTCTGCTGGTCTTGTAGAGTGTCAACCATTTTAAGCCGTGGGGCTTCCTTGTCTGAGGTGAATTTCGTCACAAGGCTTTTTATGCACTCAGGGTAAAAGGGGCGTTCCATCATGTTTGTGCTCATCTGGGCGTGGCCACTGACAGAACAAATCAATATGGAAAACAATCATCTCATCTAGAATGCTAAAATCACATTGTTATCTTCACAAAAGTATTATTATACTTAATCATTCGTTTTATACAACAATTAGATGCAAATCTCATCAATGGGAAGTGTACACCACCAGAGATACAGTTATGTTGTTCCACCGTCCTTAATGACATCACAACATAGTAACACATTTGACATGACTGTTCTTTAAGTCCCCACTAACCATTTCCCACATTCTTTTAAGTAGGAATATTGTTTCATTATCCACTTTTGGATGTTGGAGTCTTAGCGGGAAGACTTCCTTTGTCTCACAGGGAAATTCCCTCTCCCAATACTGCATGGCATGGAAAATAAAGTTTCTCCAAGGAAATTACGACCGGTCATAAAACTGGCCCCCAGGAAAGGGGGTGTTCAAACCTTTGCCCATGAGGGCAAGTCATGGACAAACCAGCCTTCTATTTCACAGGTCAGACTGGCTTGTCCCTCCATCTCATATCCAGCGTTGCATTTATATGTCACAAAAGACTTGTACGTATAGGGGGGACGGCCTTCAATCCAAAACGCCATTCTTAACAACAGGAGGAAGACATGAGACCATTGCAGACATAAACAAAGAGAGATGTCATTAAATCAAATCAAATCAAATCAAATCAAATTTTATTGGTCACATGCGCCGAATACAACAGGTGCAGACATTACAGTGAAATGCTTACTTACAGCCCTTAACCAACAGTGCATTTATTTTAAACAAAAAAAAAGTAAGAATAAAACAACAACAAAAAAAGTGTTGAGAAAAAAAGAGCAGAAGTAAAATAAAGTGACAGTAGGGAGGCTATATATACATTAGGTACTGTTTTGAGGTGAACAATGTGACCCAAGTATATTATTTATTGGTTTTAGACTACTTGAAGCAATACACACAATGTTGTTATAACCACCCCTTTATGAATCCTGCAACTAATCAATATATATCAAATAAATAGGGTAGATTCTATTGTTACCCACTTCCTCTGAGCTCAATGTTGCATCATGGTTTTCAGAATAGGCCTACACATTATCCATGTTTTAGACTGCTTGCTTAGCCTGTTTCATGCACATCTGTGCTTATGTTCTATTTTATTAGGCTAGATACTGTGATATTTACACATTTATCTTTCAGAGGAGGTCATCTGGAACATGCTCACGATTGTGTGGTGGAGGAAAAAAGTGGAGCCCATATAGATTTGATCAGTGTAAACCACGTGTCAAACTCATTCACTGGAGGGCCGAATGTCTGCGGGTTTTCGCTCCGCCCTTGTACTTGATTGATGAATTACGATCACTAATTAGTAAGGAACTCCTCTCACCTGGTTGTCTAGGTCTTAATTGAAAGGAAAAAACAAAAACCAGCAGACACTAGGCCCTCCATGGATTGACTTTGACACCCCTGTTGTAAGCAGTTCATGTGAGCAGTTCTATATTTTGTTAACAACCATACAGAATGGAATTCTCCATTCTCAGAGCAGGTTATGGATTTAGTTCCAACCAGAGTGTAATCCTTCTCACAGCCATATTGCACAACATCTCCATAGTTATACATCTCTTCAGGTTGGACAACAGGCCCACCGTTGACAATGGTGGGGGGCTTTCCACACTTCACCACTGCAGATTAGAACACAACAGCAGTTATGATCAGTTACGAAGAGTTTTGATTTAGGCACAAGCACAGAACTGTTAAAGTTATTGTTATTTTGACTTGACATGCTCCTTCAGATGACTAACCTTCACATAAAGGAACTCTGCCATCCCAGCCTCCGTCCATACAGGTCCTTACATCGCTGCCCACAAGCATATAGCTGAAAAATAGAAAGATTAGACAATATGAGACAGTATTTGGAGCTTTGCTTTTAGGACAACAAACACGTTTTGTTTAACTTTTAGGGAGTGTAAGTTTGATGAAGGCCTATTTGGAAATCACTGACCCAGTGTTACAGGTAGCAACAACCTTGTCACCAAACAAGATCCCCTCAGAGAGATCAAAATGGCCGTTCTTCCCTTCTCCTGGGGAGCCACACGACTTCCCTGAAACAACCACAGAGAAAACCAGTCAGACTTTCAAAATGACAGAGTGGCAAAGAGTTTAATGTTAGCACAAAACAGGTCCGAATTCCAGGCTAGTATTTCAATAATATCTATTGATGGGCAATGAATATAGCAAGTTGCGAGTGGGTAACTAAAAACTGAAAACATTTACAAGAATATGGCGTAACTTTTCAGAACAAAATTAGACAATTATATTACTTTTGCATGTCAGTTTCACTTCACACGCCAGCAGTACAGGTGACTGATCGAGACCGTCCAGCACTGGCATATCCAATTGCACAATGAAAATTGACTTTTGCTCTGTCTACAAATGTCTCATGAGTGATTAAGGCATCTGACAAAACCATGTTTGGCCCTCCTATGGGTTTGGTGCAGCTTTGAGCTGAAAGAGGTGGAGACAAAATGGAGTTAATGTTAATGACCAAGGTGAACAAATACAGGAGACAACACCGTCAATTCAACCCATAAACTGTAGTAGTGTAAGCTTCAAACCACCGTCTGTAGACAGAGATGCAAAGAAATAGGATTCTGATTCTATACAGATATGACCCCACCTTGAATAGTGAGAAACATCAAGGCCAGCTGGACCATCCATATCTTCAAGGACCAACAACAGACAGAGGGCTGCATGATATCTTATTTTCCCGTAACAAGCAGCAGCACACGGTTTCCTGGATTGGTTGGTTTGCTGTACTGTAACATTTTGCCAGATCGCCACCTAAGCAGATTAACTTCTCTTAATATCCACTTGCCGTAATCACGCTGTTGAGAAGGAGAACACACACTGTCAACAATCTGTGAGTTAGTGTACCCATATGGATACAATACATGGCCAATGTTGGTCAAACATCTCATTCCAAAATCATGGGCCCTAATACGGAGTTGGTCCCCCCTTTGCTGCTATAAAAGCCTCCACTCTTCTGGGAAGGCTTTCCACTAGATGTTGGTACATTTCTGTGGGGACTTGCTTCCATTCAGCCACAATAGTATTAGTGAGGTTGGGCACTGATGTTGGGCGATTAGGCCTGGCTCGCAGTCGGCGTTCCAATTCATCCCAAAGGTGTTCAATGGGGTTGACGTCAGGGCTCTGTGCAGGCCAGTCAAGTTCTTCCACACCGATCTCGACAAACCATTTCTGTATGGACTTCGCTTTGTGCACGGGGGCATTGTCATGCTGAAACAGGAAAGTGCCTTCCCCAAACTGTTACCACAAAGTTGGAAGCACAGAATCGTCTACAATGTCATTGTATGCTGTAGCATTAAGATTTCCCTTGACTGGAACTAATGGGCCTAGCACAAACCCTGAAAAACAGCCCCAGACCATTATTCCTCCTCCACCAAACTTTACAGTTGGCACTGTGCATTCGGGCAGGTAGCGTTCTCCTGACATCCGCCAAACCCAGATTCGTCCGTCGGACTGCCAGATGGTGAAGCGCGAGTCATCACTCCAGAGAACGTGTTTCCACTTACCCCAGAGTCCAATGGCAGCGAGCTTTACACCACTTCAGCCAACGCGTTGCATAGCGCATGTTGATCTTAGGCTTGTGTGCGGCTGCTCGGCCATGGAAACCCATTTCATTAAGTTCCAGACGAACAGTTATTGTGCTGACGTTGCTTCCAGAGGCAGTTTGAAACTCAGTAGTGAGTGTTGTAACCGAGGACAGACGATTTTTCCCGCTATGCGCTTCAGTACTCTGCGGTCCCATTCTGTGAGCTTGTGTAGCCTACCACTTCGTGGCTGAGCAGTTGTTGCTCCTAGACGTTTCCACTTCACAATAACAGCACTTACAGTTGACCGGGGCAGCTCTAGCAGGGCAGAAATTTGACAAACTGACTTGTTGGAAAGGTGACATCTTATGACTGTGCCACGTTGAATGTCACGGAGCTCTTCAGTACGGGCCATTACACTGACAATGTTAACTATGGAGATTGCATGGCGGTGTGCTCGATTTTATACACCTGTCAGCAACGGGTGTGGCTGAAATAACCGAATCCACTAATTTGTCTACATACAGTGCCTTCGGAAAGTATTCAGACCCCTTCCCTTTTTCCATATTTTGTTACGTTACAGCCTTATTATAAAATGGATAAAATAAAATAAAATCCTCAATAATCTACACACAATACCCCATAATGACAAAGTGAAAACAGGTTTTTTGAAATGTTGACACGTTTATTAAAAATGTAGAACAGAAATACCTTCTTTACATAAGTATTCAGACCCTTTGCTATGAGACTCGAAATTGAGCTCAGGTGCATCCTGTTTCCATTGATCATCCTTGAGATGTTTCTAAAACTTGGAGTCCACTTGTGGGAAATTCAATTGATTGGACTTGATTTGGAAAGGCACACACCTGTCTATATAAGGTCCCACAATTGACAGTGCATGTCATAACAAAAACCAAGCCTTGAGGTCGAAGGAATTGTCCGTAGAGCTCCGAGACAGGATTGTGTCGAGGCACAGATCTGGGGAAGGGTACAAAAACATTTCTGCAGCATTGACGGTCCTCAAGAACACAGTGGCCTCCATCATTCTTAAATGGAAGAAGTTTGGAACCACCAAGACTCTTCCTAGAGCTGGCCGCCCGGCCAAACTGAGCAATCGGGGGAGAAGGGCCTTGGTCAGGGAGGTGACCAAGAACCTTATGGTCACTCTGACAGAGCTCCAGAGTTCCTCTGTGGAGATGGGAGAACCTTCCAGAAGGAAAAATCCTCTCTGCAGCACTCCACCAAATCAGGCCTTTATGGTAGAGTGGCCAGACGGAAGTCACTCCTCAGTAAAAAGCACATGACAGCCAGCTTGGAGTTTGCCAAAAGGCACCTAAAGACTCTCAGACCATGAGAAACAAGATTCTCTGGTCTGATGAAACCAAGATTGAACTCTTTGGTCTGAATGCTAAGCATGACATCTGGAGGAAACCTGGCACCATCCCTACGGTGGTGGCAGAATCATGCTGTGGGGATGTTTTTCAGCGTTAGTGACTAGGAGACTAGTCAGAATCGAGGCAAAGATGAACGGAGAAAAGTACAGCGAGATCCTTGATGAAAACCTGCTCCAGAGCGCTCAGGACCTCCGACTGGGGCGAAGGTTCACCTTCCAACAGGACAACGACCCTAAGCACACAGCCAAGACAACGCAGGAGTGGCTTCGGGACAAGTCTCTGAATGTCCTTGAGTAGCCCAGCCAGAGCCCAGACTTAAACCTGATCGAACATCTCTGGAGAGACCTGAAAATAGCTGTGCAGCAACGCTCCCCATTGTCATGACTTGCCCTCATGGGTTAAGGTTCAATCATACTGGCTAGGCAAAGGTTTGAACACCCCCTTTCCTGGGGGCCAGTTTTATTACCGGTCGTAAATACCGTGCAGACTTTCTCTTCCTTGCCATGAAGTATTGGGAGAAAGGACCCCTTTGTTAACAAAGGAATTCTTCCCGCCAAGACTCCAACATCCAAAAGTGGATAATGAAACAATATTCCTACTTAAAAGAATGTGGAAAATGGTTGGTGGGGACTTAAAGAACAATCATGTCAAATTCGTTACTATGTTGTGATGTCATTAAAGACAGTGGAACAACATAACTGTATCTCTGTTAACATCACTTAACATAACATCACTTCCCAGTGATGAGGTTTGCATCTAATTGTTGAATAGAACAAATGATTAAGTATAATAATACTTTTGTGAAGATAACAATGTGATTTTAGCATTCTAGATGAGATGATTGTTTTCCATATTGATTTGTTCCCCAGTCACTGGCCACACCCAGATGAGCACAAACATGATGGAACGCCCCTTTTACCCCGAGTGCATAAAAAGCCTCGTGACGGAATTCACCTCAGACCAGCAGACGTGAAGCGTGAGCTAAACATTGCAAATGGTTGAATTTCTACCAGACCAGGAAGCCCACGGCTTAAAATGGTTGACACTCTACAAGACCACCAGATGTGAAGCATGAGCTAAATGTTGCAAATGGTTTAAAACTACAACTCCATTACCAAAGGAAGACCAAGCATACTACGGTATAAGCCGGATATTGCAAATGGTTGAATTTCTACAAGACCAAGAAGCTTACAAAATGGTTAGATCAGAAAGACCAGAAAACGTGAGACGTTAGTCCAAACGTTTGAAATTAGAAACTCAGAATCTCTCAACCTCTACACGAGGTGAAGAAGAAGACAATGCACTAGACCTTATCTCAGTCTACAGCTGGCATGTATAATCGTCTAGAGAACTTTCACTATAGACACGAGAGGAGAGGACTATCCCTCTCAGACAACCGCTGGTACATCTGAAGTATCCATCTAACCACTACTACGACCAGAAACTCTACCATGGACATTGAGATCTCTGGTGGGCAAACCAGAGTCCTACATCATCAACTCAACTATTGAGGACAGCTACACGTAAATAAATGTTACATTTCTAATCCGAATGAGCGTAGTTTCCAAAGTAACCACGATAGTTTGAATCTCTCTCTCCCTTCCACCACACCCGTCGCTATGGGCGGCCATAGGGCCCCTATGGCCCGCCCCCAAAAATGCTTGTGCCCCACCACTTGAGGCACAGATCTCTTTAAAAAAGTACTTTAATTTTATATTATAATAGTTGCTAATTTTGTGTTGCATTAATGTTGCATTCTTTATCATTAAAACATTAAAAATATAAAGAAACAATGGTGTGATTTTGTTTGATTGATGGGTATCTACACTGCAACAGCCTATCACGGCCTTAATAAAAAGAAAGTTAGGCTACGTACGTGACGTAGCCTACGTCAGTGTAGCCGCTCAACAGTTACCGCGCATTTTTGAAAGCTGGATGAGTTTTCGCCGGCTTACTCGCTTCAGTTCGTCATGGATATCCGTAAGTGGTTGAAAAGCCCACCAACAGTCTCCTCTGCCAAATTGGATACGACACCGACGCCTCCTGATGTTGTAGTTGGAGAAGGAGACCCTGGACGACAGTCTGAGCCTGATGCTAGTAGCTCCGTGGAGTCCGACCCTGGGCCTGGCAGGACCTGCAGGTCAAGTGCAACCGCGACTGTGGCAGCATTTGGGCCACAACTGCCTGTTGAATCAGTGTGAGTGACCTCGGCATGGACAAACCCAAACAGGTTGTGTTGAGGAAATATCCAGTCAAAATGTTTGGTTCAAAAAAACGATCATTTTCCTCTAGCTGGTATTTGAACAGGGACTGGCTTGAGTACTCGGTGGAAAAGGACTCCGCATTTTGTTATGCCTGCAGGAAATTCAAATCTGTATCATCGGACGCGACCTTCTCCATTAAGGGATTTCATGATTGGAAACATGCAATTGGAACAGGCAAGGGCTTAAATAAGCATGCAGCTTCAAAAGAACATTTAGCCTGTGAAGCAAAAAACGTAGAGACAGGAAAAGAGATTTCCACTCTCTTAAATTCAGAGCAACAGGCTCGCAACAGATACTACATGTAATTGATATGCTGGAGTTTTTAGTGGTGAATCAATTGCCGTTACGTGGAGATAATGCTGGTTTTGCCAGTGTGCTAGATGATAATAGCTCAATGGGGCTGTTTTTGTCTCTCTTTGAGTACACCATGCGCAAAGATCCCGAACTGACACGGTTTACAAAAACAATCCCACAGAATGCACGC